ATATTATGCATTATTTTAAAACCTTGATAGTCAATGATAAACGTTATTCTACTGGGTTGGTGAGCTCATCTATATCTAACATTTTTCAGAAATCTGAAATCAGATAAAAGGACAAGGTGAAAGGATAATGGACATAGGAAGTGTTGTTATTATTTCTCCTTATGTTATATCAAAAATATTTTAACTGATCGAGGAAAATTATGTAATCGTACGCTGAATATAATAATACAAGGAAGAATTATTGTAAGTTATGTGTAGTTTTATTTCTTAATCACGTCCGAGTATTTTTTTAAAAAGAAAAAAGAAATCAAGGCGTGATAACCTGAGTTCAGTAGACAATGTCTAACATCTGCACTACGCGGACAATGCTTAACGAATGGCGCTCAACGTACAATGTTCAACGTCTATGTCCAACGAACAATGCCCAATGCCTATGCTTAGCGGACAGTGTCCAGCAAACAATGCCTAGTGTCTACACCCAATGGACAATGTCCAGCAAACAACACCTAAGGACAGTGTCCAACACTTGAGCCCGGTGAATAATATCCACTGTCTGCACCCAACGGACAGTGCTTAATAGATAATGTCCAACGTGCACCCAACGGACAATGTCTAGAACCCAACGGACAACGTCCCACACCCTGCGGGCACCTGTGCCTCAACGCCCAACAGTGCTCTTGTGCAAACACTCTAAATCTCCTGCTTAGCACCTCTCTTACGAGTCGCCAAAAAGTTTGACTTATCTTTGTTCTGCTCTCAAGCAAGCAATCTATGTCTCTAGCTTAGCGTCTCTCTCACGAGTCGTCAAAAGTTTGGTTTATCTCTGCTCTGCTCTCAAGCAAGCAATCTATGTCTCCAGCTTAACGTCTTTCTCACGGGTCGCCAAAAATTTGGTTTATCTCTATTCTGCTCTCAAGCAAGCAACATATGTCTCCAACTTAACTACTCTCTGCGGGTCGCCAAAAGGGCGGTCTCAAAATGTGCAGTTCTCTGACGAGTAACTAGGAGTGTCAAACGTGTTGGATTAAACAGTTACGTGTCGGGTTAAACGAGTAAAAAATATGTAAACCCGTACACGACACGTTTAATAAACAGGAGAAAAAATCTCAACACGAATACGACCCATTTAATAAACGGGTAACATAACACGACTTGTTTAACTAGTTTAATTTTAAAAAAATTATATCAACAAATTTTAATACTCCACTTTTTTTATTGTCAACTGTGTTTACCTCAAAAAAGAGGAATTTTTAGCCAAATTTCGCATAAAAATCAGACTTGAAGGCTTAAAAAAAAAAGAAGCAAGAGGCCACTGAATTTTATAGGCAATTTAGCTCTTTACAGCTCCCCTCATTTATCGATGTGGGACAAAAATAAAAGGCATTGGTTTGCCTTTGTCTTTAAACTGTTCTCCATCTCCCCTCATTTGTTTTTGAACTACTACTTTACTTCTTCTTTTTTTTTACATTGATTTATTTACTTCTTTTTTTCTCGCTAATTTTTGAAAATAATTATTAATTTATTATTATATTAATTTTATTTAAACGGGTAAACATGTGATAAACGGTTTGATAGGTCTCACTTGAACATGACCCGTTTATTAACCGTGTTTGATGAGTCAACCCATTTACCACCCAAACTCGTTAAGATCTTACTCAAACCCGTTTAATTTGTGTGAATTCATGTCGGTTAATCGTTTCGTGTCGAATTTTGACAGGCCTACGAGTAACCCTCAAATTTTGCCTCTGCTTTCATGTGGACAGCCTCATAGTCAACCTATATCTAGCTTAGCGACTCTCTCACGGGTTGCCAAAAGCTCAGTTTAAAGAGGTACAGCTCTCTCACGAGCAACCCTCAAATTCTATCTTTTCTCTCATGTAAGTAGCCTCTATTTCTTTGCAGCCTGATGTGTTGGCCTCTCTCTCCAAGTAATCATGTTGGATATTTTGATGTTGAAGTAACATTGTTTTTGTCATCTCTAGACACGCTCTTGAAACTTAGGTCGTCTGCAACCTGAGGGACAACATTAGATTGAATGTCAACAATCAACCCTCATCCTTTTTGTGGCCATCCAGCATCGCTGCCTCGTTGTCGCAACGCTCCCGCACTTAACACCTAGTGTAAACAAGGTTTGCATGCTCCCAACACTAAGGATTTGACACTTGCTCCTGGGTACTAGCTCTCCTACTCTTGGCACCCAGCTTTATGATGCCCCTCCTGGCGCCTCTTCTAGATGTCTTGCTCCTAGCGCCCCCTCCTGGCACCCCCTTGTGGCGCCTAACTCCAGGTGTCTCGTCCTCCTACACTTGTGTAGCTCTATACCCAGCATCCACCGCTGTCGCTCTTAGCTCACCTGTCGATCCCTTCACTGCGCACAGTGCCTATGCGGTCGCCCATCTAGCGCAGCCCCTAGCGAGGCTGCCACTAACGCACTCATCCAGCAGCGTCATCCCTAGCGCATCTGCTCCTCCCCGAATGACACCTGTCGCGGTGTGCTCGCCGTCCCAAGGCACCTTACCAAAGCCCGCACCGCCTTGTCAACGCCATCTTGGGCTCTAGCCTCCACAATGCCCGTGGTGGCCCCTGCCTCGCCGATGCCTGCTGTGTTGCTGACGCCCCTTGCCTCATCAACATCTACTGCGTCGTTGACACCCGCTGCCTCGCCGACACCTGCCTACACACTAGCTTCGATGTCGATTGTTTCATCATTGCCTACCTCCTCTTTGATGTCAATGGCTTCTTACATCTCTCCTTTGTCATCCAACAGCAGCCTCTGGTAACCTAGCTCATGGGTAACCTCCCTTGCCTCACTCAACTTGCTACCACTCATGGTCATCTCACTAGAAGTTATCTCTCAAGGGTAAATGGAATGAAAAGAAAGGGAAAAACCCTTATTTATAGCCTAGGGTTTTTAAAAATCATAATCAGTGATAGAATGGGGTAAAGTTTTTTGTAGCAATGAATGTCTTATGGGAAAGAACTGTATCAAGAAGGGTCATCAGTTAAAAGGAGTCTTCGTCAGCCAGAGTCCAAATCCAACTAAATGCCCTTTTCTCCAAGTTTTATTGGACTCGGGACATTGGGGGATAAATGATGGGTCCATACCAAGGCCCAACTCAGGTTATGGGCCTAACTTGAATAAAGGATCCACCTATATGAAACCCAGTGGGTCCAACCCAAAAGAGATTCACTCCTAGTTAGGCTCATCAAGGCTCTAAGAGTTACGCCATCAAGGAGTAGGCAACGCCATCCCAAGAGCCTCATCCACACCACCTTGGAGTAAGGAACAAGGAAGTCAACCACGCCATCCTAAGAGCTGGTCTTGAGGAGAGCCCCGCAACAACCTCATCCATTTTGAAGATGACGCCACCTCCACCAAATTAACTTTTTAGTTACTAATAAGTCATCTCAATATGTTAGGAGGCGATAAAATATAAGCTCCACCTACAAATTGGGGGTATCTTGCACAAGATATCACATCTGACATCACTCTCATTGCTCTCACCTGATCTCCTTACACTCATACATCTATAAAACACTCAAGTCATACTATCCTTTCACAATGGAGTAGGTCACCTTGACCGAACTACTTAAATTGTGTGTTGCTTGTGTTGAATTTTCTCTATCTATTTTATTATCTGCATTAATTGCACATCCAGGGGGTGTGCAAAATTAATTTGTGCATCATCAGTCGCCACCCCCACCGCCATCACCACAACCACCACCACCGCTTTTGCCGTAACAATTACCACTGCCACTGCCCCACCATTACCACTGCTCATTCCCCTATAATCAGTACTTAAATTCATTTCTTTACTTTATGTTTGTAATTTGATTTTGGGTGAAAATATAAATATATTTATTATTGATAATTTTTTTTTATTATTTCGTACTTTCAGGTACAGACAATAACCAGTAATTAAAAATAGAGACAATTATTACTAATAGATATATTTAGTAACCAAAACATTTAGAACAACATTAGAGGATAATATAACAAACCCAACCTTAATGCTTGTTAAAAAAAGAAGTATTGTTATACTTAGATGGGTCGACTTTGATAATTAAAGTGAGGCCGGCCTCCGAAAATTCCTTTTTTAAAAATAAATATTACTTATAAAAAACTTGAACTCGTAAATTATAGAGAATAAATTGTAATTAAATTTACTAAGCCAAAATAATTCATTTTTTTTATATTACAGAGTTCTTTTAACTCGTTTTTCAGTTGCCAGAAAATATTAATTACTTGATGTTAAAATATTCAATTTTGTATTATCCTAGAGTCCTATAGTGGACCTCAGCCCTTGTTTAGACTTCGTCCCACATTCTAAGTCACGGTAAAAAAAATTATAAACTTTATGCATTGCATGAAACGATGATTATTAGCTTAATATAAAAGAGACGCTCGATGGGATAGCATCATACCACCCATTATCAACTCCAATTGGCAAGATGTTTGGGAACACAATTAAAAAATCGTGGGGGTTGAAATAGAATTGAGCCAAATTCAAGGGATCTACCACCGGAATAAAAATTCAGGCGTCAGACTGAAAGCACAACTGAGAGCATCATATATGGATTCCTCGCTGGGTAATTATTCCGTACAACGCCCACTTACCACAGATTGCGAACGCGCTGCTTCTTACAGTTGTACCTGAATGCCTTATTCTTTAATGAGTAATGATAGAGTCAAAAATTAGATTTAATAATTTTAATTATTGAATAGATAATAAATTTCAATAAATATTAAAACGTATAGTAAAATTAAGATTAAAATTATTAAATTTAATTTTTAAATCTATTTTTTTAAGTCTACTCGAACAGATTTGAAACTTTTCCCACGGGATAGACTTTGTTGCCTCTCTGCTCCGATCGAACCTCGAGGCTTTGAGCTTTGTAGCCCTGTAGTGACCTCCAATCCCCTTTGAAAAAAACTCAACTCTCTCTCTCTCTCTCTGGTTAACAAGACACATACACACGTTTGATCCTTACATCAGTCAATGGGTGGAGGTAACAAGAAAAGGTTCAACAAACCAAAGAATCGTGGAAGGCCACCAAACTCTTCCTTAAGTCGAGATGATAGCTTTGTCATCGGCGGCTTCTTATCAGATTGGTCTGTTGTCGATTCTCCTCCTTCCAGAGGTCTCTCTCTCTCTGAAATTGGAATATATATATATATATATATATATATATATATAAATGCATTTTGGTGAAATTGTGTTATGGGTTTGATTAAGATTGTTTCGTTTTTCTTTGCTTGGTGGATTTGTAGGAAGGAATGCTAATAATGGAAAAGGAAATGGGAATGAAAATGGAAATTCTAGGTCTGCATCGAGATGTGGGAATTCAAAAGGTTCTGGATCCAAAACCGAAGCGCAGAAAACTAGGGGAAATACTATTGGTTACGTGTACCCACACCTAGTTGTTGATTTTCAGGTCAATATTGTTTTTCAACTCAAATTTGATTCTTTTTGTTAAAGCTATGTGTATATCTGTGTTGATTTTTGCTGTGATTAGAGAAGAAGTTGATCTATGAGCTATGTTTGAGGTTGGGAAAAGCTTTCTTGATTGTTGGGACTGATTGATATGGTGTGCAGGTGAGGGGTGAGACTTGATTTGTAATGGGGGAGATTTCTATTTTGTGGTTAAAGCTTCTTTTTTGTTGATAGGGGAAGTGTTTACTAAATAAGGGGTATTAAGTATTAGGTTCAAGTGAGTTGGGTAAATTTGCGAGTTGTTTGAAAGAGTCTAGATTTAGAATTGGAATTTGTTTGTGGGTTTGAGATTAAGGATTACTTTTATCTTGCCCAAAGAATAACATTTTTCTTTTCCTTGACTTTTTAGTGGTCTGAATGGAAGTATAGCTGCATTAACACCTTGTTTTAATTTACTTTTTTTAATATCAGAATGGGTGGTCTTTATCAAGTGAGTTCATTTTTTGGATAAGTTTGCGAATTAATATGGTGGGTTCTCACTATTGAAAGTGGATGTGATTTTGTTTTCAAAATTCTTCCTTTGTCTCTTTTGATGTTAACAATGATTTGAATGATTTTGATTTTTAAAGTAAAATTGGAGTTTTTTATTTTGTGCGTGATACTTTTTTGGAAGTGTACTCATTTTATTTATGTAGTAGTTTGGAAGGGGTAAATGGTAGGTTCTATAATTAACAATCAACTTTTCAAAGGGTTGGATGGATTTGTCTAGTTTGGGTGGTGTGTAGAGGTGGTCTGGATAAGTAATTATGTTGGCTTTTATTTTTGTATGAAAGTTAAAGAATTTCTTCTGTTTTTTTTTTTTTATATCTGGTTTTTGTTGCTGAGGAATTGTATCATTAACGAGGACTTGATGGTCCAACAAGCAGTTTTAGTTGCTGGGTTTGATTCATTTGTATTAACATCTTTGACTTGTTGGGTTTGATTGCTTGGAAAACAATTTGGTGATTAGTTTTTGGTTTTTCCTTACAGAATGCACAATATATGCATTTTGAAGTCTGAGCTTGGTTCTAAAATGGGGAAAAAGGAAAAATACAATTGATTATAAATTCAGCAGATGTTAAATGCCAGAACAGCTGTTTTGAAAGTTCAAATAGGCAGAATTGGTAGAATAAGTCGTCTGATTTAAGAATGTTGGTGCTTGTTTTTGGAGGCACTGTTCCAGAATCAACACTAACTTCTTTTTTTTTTTTTGAGGTCAGGTTTGGTTTTGTACATCTGTTTTATTATTTAAGTATCAAAGATATGGTTATTTTTACTTAGTTGGAATTAAAAGTGGTGTATATGCAGATCAGACGAGAAAATTTTTGATAGGAATCGGATTATATTTCGTTATAGTAGGCGTAGACGTAGGGATTAGGAGTTATTTGTTATTTTGCTTTTCAGGGGCTTAGTTATCATTATGACTATTTATTTTTTTAAGAGTTCTTTTAGGATTTGTATTCTCCCTATATATATATATATAGGGGATATGATATTTGTTTTGATAGACTTTGATTATTGATTATTAATATTGAATCCTGATATTGCTTCTTCCTTAAATTCTCTCTCGATTTTCATCCCCTAATTCTTCACTTCTTATCCCTAATTCTTCACTACTACGATCTATATCAATTTGATATTAGACCTCAATTTCGATTCGTACAAATCACAAAAATATCAACAATACTATTCATCGAAAAAAGAAAAATTGTTAGTCAAAATTACTTATCACGTGTTGTTCGTGCGCACTGTTCACCGCTCCTGTTAGCTATTCACTGTTCATCACGTTCCAACAGAACCATTCGGAAAAAAAAAAAAACTTTGCTAGATCCGTATTGTTCAGAAAAAAAAAAAAAACTGTTCATCGTGCACTGTTCTGGTCTCGTTCCCAAATAAAAAAATAAAAAATTGTGCACTGTTCATTGCGACTGTTTTCATTTCTGCCCCTTGTCTACTTCGACTTCATCGTTGCCCATCTTTTTCATCGTTCCATTATCGTTGACTTCGTCGTCCTTGCTGTAGTAGTAGCCTAGTGGGTTGAGGTTTGACCCACAGTTCACAAGTCGTCATCGTAGTCGTAGCTCCACCGTTTGTGAGACTGGTTATTGAGTGAAGTCCATTGTGTTAAAGGAAGAAGACATTGGTTTTAACTCTTTCACCCCATAAAGCTCCAGAATTACAGGAACCTCCCAGAAGTTCCAAAAAGTTACAGAATCACCCCATAAGTTTCAGAAATTTGAAAAATACCATCAGAAGCTCTAGAATTGCAGAAACATCCCCAGTAGAGTCAGAAAGCTACAAAAATTTCACTCAAGAAGTTCCAAAAATTACAAAAACACCCCAAAAAGTTTCAAAATTCGTAGGATCATCCTCTAAGGTGTCAAGTATCCTATTAGAGTGCATCTAACACCAAGTACGAGTTCTCTTCGTTGAGAATTGATGACTAGTATTTATATTTGTAGGTAAGTCAAAAAAAAAAAATTATATTACCTAAACTTTTTTTGGTTGTTGTTCTCACATACCACCTTCATAATTTTCTTTATTTGTTGTTCCCAACCACCACATTCATAACTTTCTTAGCTTGCCCAATTTCTTGTTAAATCCATTGTTGCTTGTCTCACATTTATTGGAGCCTCTTCACAATAAGTTTGTTCTTATGTGTGATCATTTGCATTGATTTATAATTTTTATTACTTGGTTTAATTTTTAGTCTAGTCGGCAATTTACATTACCCTAAATTTTACATTACATTTACTATGATCCTTCGTGAGCTTTCAGAATCCCATACTTTACTAAAACAAAAATTTGAGACTCTCACCATTGATATGACCGATACTAAACAATCAGTCAATTTGTTACGTGAGGAAGTTACTGTAATGGGGCAACAACTTTCTCAAGTGACTACCCAACTAGCCTAATTGACTAAGTTTAAGGAAAAACGACCAATAGAGTATATGACCAAGGTGAGTCACCAGTTTCACCTAAGTGTAGACAGACACATGTTAGGCACCTACCTCTCCCGAGAGATCCTACTTACTCATGTCAAGGTGTTCTACCCACTCCGCAGGTAGCTTAGGGGAGCCGAGTTTAGTGTCTAGATAGGAGGCCACCTCCTAATATTGTTTTTGGACAAAACGTAGGTCGTAGGAATTTTCAGGAGGATCCCGCTGAGGTAGTCATGTCTAACTATTCAGCAGAGGGTGATATGGATGGATATCGTGAGCCTTTCCGACCACGTGATAGATACCATAGGCCTCCCCCTCTGTGTTACCATAATCCTTGACATAGGCATGTCCATGAAGAATCTAAGGGTATCACACAAAGAGTCAAAGGGGACGCTCCTAGTTTTTATGGTAGGTTGGATTCTGTTATTTTCTTGGACTGGTTGGATGAAATGGATAACTATTTTGATTGGTATGATATGTCTGACGACCATCGGGTTCATTTTGCCAAAATAAAACTCGTTGGTTTGGCTAAGAGATATTGTCAGGGAGTCCAACGAGAGCAAGAGTGCTTAGAGGGACAACCCATTACTTTATGGGCTGAGATGAAACAAAGATTGCGAGATAAATATCTCTCTAGTTACTATAAGCGCCAACTCTTGGACAAGTGGATGAACTTGCGTCAATTGACCTCGAGTGTGATTGATTACCTAGCTCGATTTGAAGAGTTCTTTCTGAGATGTGACATAAAGGAAGAGCTTTGGATTACAGATACAAAATTCATTAATGGTTTGAGACTTGAGATTAAGAGAGAGATTAACTTACACTCTCCTAAAACGATTGAGGAAGTATATTATAAAGCCTTAGAGATTGAACAATACCTTAGGCCACCCTTTCAGCATCGCATGCCTTCTCAAACCGGAGAATCTCAACCATCAAGGTCAGTCTCATTTGATTGGTCTTGAGGCGTCACCCAGTCAGGACCTGTCACATTTAGGGGTAACAGTTATCCCAACTTGAGAGGTAATACCACTAGGGGTCGAGATTTTACACTCACGGGTTCTCGCCAAGACAGTTCTTCCATAGAGTGTTACTGTTGTCATGACAAGGGTCATATTGCTTCACAATGCCCTCAGCGTACCTTGACTATTGACCACTGGTTAGGAAACTCACTTGACAGAGAGGATGTTGACCAAGAAGTTGATCCTTTAGATGAGGAATCCCTAGAGTTACTAGATGAAAGTGAGGAAGAGTGGCAGACTGATGACACCCGTGTCAGTGTGATGCGATGTATCTTATCCACCCCTTCAGGCACAGAAGCATGGAAACGCACCAGCATTTTTCATACTCTAGTCCGATGTGGGGGTCAAGTTTGCAAGGTCGTCATTGATAGGGGAAGTTCATTGAATGTTATCTCTAAATTAGCTATTACTCAGTTGCAGCTTAAGCCAGAGACACACCTACAACCTTACATGGTTGCATGGGTTGAGAAGACCTCCTTACCAATATCACAGAGATGCTTGGTCCCTATTCAGATGGGTGACTATTCAGATCATATATAGTGTGATGTCTTACCCATGGATGTCGCTCATGTCTTGTTAGGTCGCCCGTGAATTTTTGATCTAGACGTGACAAACTATGGGAGGGAAAATACCTATGTTTTTAAGCATAAAGGGAAAACCATCAAATTAAAACCTGCAAAACCCTCAGAAGGTAATAATTCAATGAATAGGTCGTCTTCCCCAATAATTCACAAGAAAGACCTTCACATCTTGACCCATAGACAATTTGAAAAAGAGAGAAAAGACTAGTATAGTGGTAGCTCTAGTTGTCAAAGAAGTTGTCCAAAGTCCTTTGGAATCTAAGGACGATCTTTTGCCTGAGGTTGATAATCTATTGAGAGAGCTCCATGATATGATCCCTGAGGACCTACCTGATGAGTTGCCACTAATGAGGGATGTTCAGCATGCTATTGACTTAGTTCCAGGATCTCAGTTGCCTAATCTTCCCCATTATCGCATGAATCCCATTGAGCATGCTGAACTCCAAAGGCAAGTAGATGGACTGTTACAAAAGGGGTCTGTTTGTCATAGTCTTAGTCCATGTGTTGTCCTTGCTTTGTTAACCCCTAAGAAAGATGGCCCTCGGAGAATGTGTGTTGATAGTTGTGCCATTAACAAAATTACAATCAAGTATCGATTTCCTATACCGAGACTTGAAGATATGTTGACCTTTTGGTCAGTGCACTTTGGTTCTCCAAAATTGATTTGCATAATGGTTGTCATCAAATCCGAATTAGACCAGGAGATGAATAGAAAATCACCTTTAAAACCTAGGATGGACTTTATGAGTGGTCGATCATGCCTTTTGGATTGTTTAATGCACCTAGCACATTTATGACGGTTATGACTCGGATATTGCGTCCTTTTCTAGAAAAATTTGTGGTGGTTTATTTTGATGAGATCTTGATCTATAGTTGGTCCAAAGAAGAGCACTTGGATCATCTTCGACAGGTTGTGCAGACGTTACGGGTGGAAAGATTCTATGCGAACCTTAAGAAGTGTTCCTTTATGCAATCTCAAGTGCTTTTTCTTAGGATTTATTATATCTGCGCAAGGTATTACAGCTGACCCAGAGAAAATTAGTGCTATTAGGAATTGGTCAGAGCCAAGAACAATTTTTGAAGTTCGAAGCTTTCATGGCTTGGCCATCTTCTATAGGCGTTTTATTAAAGGGGTTTAGTTCCATTATGGCTCCCATCACAGAGTGAATGAAAAAAGGGGAGTTTCAATGGACTCTTGCTGCAACTAGAGTCTTTCAAGTAATTAAACACAGGATGACAGAGACACCTGTTCTTCAACACCCAAATTTTTCTAAGGTGTTTGAGGTTGCCTGTGATGCATCTGGAGTAGGGATAGGTAGAGTTTTGAGTCAAGAAGGTCATCTTATTGCTTACTTCAGCAAAAAACTCAATGAAGCTAAATAATAATACTCTACATATGACAAAGAGTTCTACACTGTTGTACAAGCTCTCTGCCATTAGAGGTATTATCTATTGTCAAATGAGTTTGTGTTATATTTTGATCATCAGGCATTGAAATACCTTCATTTCTAGAAAAAATTGAGTGTTAGGCACGTTCGGTGGGTTGAGTTTCTTTATGAGTATACTTTTGTTCTTCACCACCGAGCGGTCATTGAAAACAAACCTGCGGATGCTCTTAGCCGTGTTGTTGTTGTTTTACAGATTATAAGTGTTCATGTGATTGGCTTTGACAGGATTAGAGATGAGTATGCCTCTTGTCCAGACTTCGGTATTATTTTTCAGGATGTTCAGTCTGGTAACTGTCATGGGTACATTGACTTCCTCCTTAGAGATGGGTACTTGTTTAGAGGGTCGTGCGTATGTATTCACCGTACTTCACTTAGGGATTTCTTGATTTGGGAATTACATGTAGGAGGTCTGGCAGGCCACTTTGGTAGGGATAAGACATTTGCACTTGTTGAGAATAGGTTTTGTTAGCTCACTTTGAGGTGTGACATTATTAGGATAGTGTCACAGTGTCGCACTTGTCAGTTAACAAAGGCTAGGAAACAAAACACTAGGTTGTACACACCATTACCAATTCCACACACACCATGGAGAGGCCTTAGTATGGACTTTGTCTTAGGATTGCCTAAAACAGCTCGTAGTCATAATTCTATTTTAGTTGTTGTTGATCAGTTTTCTAAGATGGCCCATTTCATTCCTTGTACTAAGTCTACTGATGCCTCACACGTAGCAAAGTTATTTTTTAGAGAAGTCGTCCGATTACATGGGTTGTCTATTTCCATTGTGTCTGATAGGGATGTCAAATTTGTTAGTTATTTTTGAAAGACACTTTGGAAACTCTTTGGAACTAATCTAAAGTTTTCCTCTGTCTTTCATCCCCAAACTGATGGTCAAACTGAGGTTGTCAATCGTAGCTTGGGAGATTTGTTTAGGTGTCTAGTGGGTGAGAAGATGAAAAATTGGGATTTGTTGTTACTTATTGCTGAATTTGCCAATAACAACTCTGTCAACAAGTCAATTGGTAGATCCGCTTTTGAGATTGTTTATGGCTATTCCTCTAGATAGCCTATTGACTTATTACCTTTACCTCCTGATTCCCTCCCTTCGCACTCAGTCGAAGTTTTTGTCCAGCATATTTTCATCACTTGCATGCAGACATAAGACAGAAAATTACATTAAATAATGAGAATAATAAATTGGTTGCAGATGCTCATAGTAGGAATAAAGAATTTATTGTGGGAGACTATGTCATGGTTTGTGTGCGTCCTGAATGTTATCCTAAAAATTCTTTCAAAAAATTACATGCTCGAACCACTGGTCCTTTTCGTATTCTTCGTAAGCTTGGACCTAATGTATATCACTTTGACTTACCTTCGAATACGAGTATTAGTTCTATTTTCAATGTGAAGGACTTGTTTCCTTATCATGGTACTTTTGAGTCTCCTATGTTGCCAGCAGGTATTCCTACAGGTGGAGTTGCTTCGTCATCAGCATCATTTACAGTTCCTATTTTTCCATTGTTTCCACCACAGCTGCATGATTAGATTGTAGATATACTTGACGATTAGATTGTGTGCTCCTCGGATGGAGGATACCGTCGTTATCTTGTTTAATGGAGAGATCATCTAGAGATTGATGATTCATGGATTACTGAGTTTCGTCGGCTTGACCCTGATCTTCTAGAGCATTATCATGATTGTATCACTCCGGAGGCGAGTTCTTTTTAGCTGGGAGAAAATGATAGGAATCGGATAATATTTCGTTATAGTAGGCGAGGCGTAGACGTAAGGATTAGGACTTATTTGTCATTTTATTTTTCAGGGGCTTAGTTGTCATTATGACTATTTATTTCTTTTAGAGTTCTTTTAGGATTTGTGTTCTCCCTATATATATATAAGGGACATGGTATTTGTTTTGGTAGACTTTGATTATTGGTTATTGATATTGAATCCTGATATTGCTTCTTCCTTAAATTCTCTCTTTTTTCTCATCCCCTTCTTCTTCTTTTCTCATCCCTTTTTTCTTCCCTTCTCATCCCCTAATTCTTCACTTCTCATCCCTAATTCCTCACTATTACGATCTACATCAATTTTGTTATATCCTTTTACTAATTTAGATCTACTTGAGCTTTTTTTAGGAAGATTCACTTACAGATCGGGGCAACAATGGAGACAACAATGTGGATGCGTCACAACAAATTGTTTTGGTTGATTCTAAGGAGGGACAAATTCCAACTTATGTAAACCAGACACCATCTAAAGAAAGCAATGTGGAATATACTAATGGTTACAATGCCAGTTTTGCATTGGATGATATTTCTCATAGTGGATTGGGGTTCTTTGATGAAGCAGAAAAAACTCCGAGCGGTATTGTTTCAGTGTCCAAAATGGAAGAGGAAGAAGGTTCTTCTTTCGGTTCATCATCCTCTGAGGAGAATATGGATGCTGATGATGATTATTTCCATGAGGTAAGTACTACAATGGGTAATGGCTTGCTGGCTGAGACATCATTGCCAGCAGAAAATTCAGGATTTTTGGCCATTGGAGGCATGAAATTATACACCCAAGATATATTCCAAGAGGAAAGTGATGAGGATGATGGTGAAGATTTACTTGATGAGGAAAGCTTGGAGTCCACTGGCTCATCTGATAGTGATGACTCATCTAATAGCGATAGCCCATCTGATAGTAGTTCAGATATTGATGACGAGGTTGCACTGGATTACATTGAAGGAATTGGTGGGGTTGCTAATCTTGTGAATGTTGATCAGTTGGTTGGACAAATTCTTGATGGCTCGGATGATGATAGTACAGATGATAGTTTTAGTGAGACTGTGGAGAAGTTGGGTGCGATTTCTCTTCAGGAAACATCAGGGGAATATGCCATGAAGAAGCCTCAATCAAGAGGGAAATATTCAGCTGAGGACGACAAATCTAGAGCCACTAGAGTTGCCAGGTCATCTGGTCTGGATAATCTAATGCTTGTAAAGGATTCAAGAACCATTTCTGGAAGAAAGAAGCATGTTGCTAGATTTCCTCAGTCCTGGCCTTATGATTCTCAAAAGAGTTCAAATGTCAGGAAATTTCCAGGTAAAGAACTTCACTTAGATACAGTTATATGTGTTATATCTCGTGTAGATAACGTACTTTTTAGGTACCAAATTATAGAATAGGATGAAAATGAGGTTACCATCTCATCTTATAATGTTGTCTATTTCAATATGTATGTATAGATTATAACTTATACTGGTTTAATAGGTTGATTTTTCAAATTGGAGGAGGGTGAATTATTTTTCAGTTTCGAATGCATTTTTTCTTGTTTATCTGCTTTTCCAAAATGCAATGCTAGGTGGTTAAGTTCATTTGATTTAGGTCATTAGTGACTGTTTACAACTTATCCAATGGCAGTTTGAAATAGGTCACCAAAGTTCTAAGGTATGTTAGAGGAAGTAATCAGCTACATTATGAAGGCTATGAGTGCATAAAATGAGCTGCCCTTTTGAGGGTAGGCATTGTTGACTTGGTGCAATGGCAACTGGCAAGGTTACTCCATTGTGACCTTAGTTTCAAGGGTTCAGATGGTGGAAACAGTCTCTTCTCATTTGGGAGGGAGGAGAAAAGGAAGGGGGCGGGGTAATGTGAGGGTAAGGTTGGGTGCATCTAACCATCTCCAAATCCTGTAGTGGCAGGAACTTCATGCACTAGGCCACCCTTTTTAAATGAGGCATGATTCAAGATGGCATCATGTAGATTGAGGGAAAGCTCCAAAAGATAAAAAATATTTTCTGTTTTGTCAGTTCACTCAATTTCATAAAATTAACCTTCTTCTGATTGAAGAGGTCATGGATCAGGATATTAGAAGCTTTGGCATCTTAAAATTTTATGTTCTTCAAAATAATTTTAATAAGAAATCAATATAACGAATGCAAAAAGGAGTGAAGAATTTGATTAATTCGCATATACTTATGCACCAATGACCAAACAATTTTTAAACCAAAAAAAAAAAATAGATCTGCTCCTTTGGTTTGTATCTTACTTTTAACAAGGTGAATGCACGGAAGAGAAATTTGAAATTGGTCTACACCCCCTCCCCCCTTCCCTTTTTTTTTTTACTTTTAACATATGGAATTGAGTTTTTTCATTATAATTTGTTTCTAGGATTCAAAGAAACATCAGAAATCAATTGACCGAAAACTAAAACAGAAAATAACACATATAAGTGTGGAACTTTCACTTGTCTTTTATGTTTTTGGATGGTTTACCGATATTAGTGTTAGAAGAAAAGAGGTGGAAAGTTGAAATTTGAAGTAACCTGCGATGGAAAAATCTTCTTATATTTCTTCGATGGTCTTTGTGTTCTAATTTCTAAGAAATTAAGCATCTGTCTGCAACTCTACTTCATATGCTTTTAGTGTAATATTTCAGGTGCCAAAAAGAAACATCGTAAAGAAATGATTGCGCCAAAGCCTAGAGATAGACTGATTCGCCGTGGCGTTGATCTTCAGCAAATAAATTTGGTAAGAAGAAAGACATACTTTCATTTTTGGAAGAAGAAATGAGACCTCTGCTCTATTATCACAGCTATTCAGATTTCCTGCAAACTAGTGTGCGTTTCTATTTTGTGGTGATACGTTTGATGTGATTCTTAATTATCTCCAGTCTAGGGGTTATAAACCCCAAGTTTATGCTTTTGATCTTAGTGCCTCATCTAATATCTGGCAGGATTTCCCTAAATTATTCCACTTTTCTCTCAAAATAACCTATAAGTTTGTAATTTTTAATTGCAGAAATTACAGCAGATGGTTTTGGATGGAGTAGATATCAAATCATTCCAACCTATGCACTCCCGGGATTGTTCCCAGGTATGGGATATCAATTTTTTATGTTTTCTGAAGGGTATAGGTTGCTATTGTTTTTGGGATTGTTCACTTGTCCTCGGCTTGCAAAGAACACCACCTCCTTCTTTTCTTTCTTTTCCCTTCTTATTAGCATTTTATTCTTGGTTTACCATTTGGGCCTTTAATGTATGGATGGTAAAAATTCGGTGGATATATGATCTAAGTTTGGCTATTTAATAAAATATTGGTGGGATATAAGCCTAAAATTTCATCATATTTTTACTTCCCTGTAGAAAACTAGATTAGCAGTGAACCCAAGAAAATTTTCGACATGATCTGAGCTAGACATTTTCATCACTGCAATCAAATTTTTTATGTTTCAATGCTTTGTGCATGAGGCTGACATCAGTTTGTGTTCTGCGGAGTTAATTGCTGTAGAGTGGCAGCTACAATTTCTGCTTGATTTATTGGGTGGTGCAATTGAATTTCTGCTATCAATTTCACTACCTATTCGGTGAATGTGCATTCTTATTTACTCGCCCATACTCTGCTTGTGGAGGGAATAGTTGAACAGTAAACTGTGGAAATTCGTCTCAAATACTTTATTATTAGTTTCGACTCTGAGTGTTCCTAGAAATGAAATATTTTATTGCAGTTGATATTATTTATTTTTGTGAAAATAACAGTGCTATCTGTCTTGTTGAATGTATTAGATTATGTTGAATGGTATCCAGTATCCAAGCTCCAATCACTCTGTTAAAACACATACGATTCTGGGGTTTTTGTGTTGGACACCACATAGCCATGTTCTTCCTGTGCTTTTCGCTTACGCAGGGCTTCTATAGTTTGATTAACTTGTATGCATAACTAAATTCATCCATGGTAGTTGTCAGGGTTTTTGAGTTGTGATTCTTCACAAGTACTGTACATGCTTTGCTATAAAAACTTCATATTGAGATTTAAGACGCGATTTCAGTTCGGTAATAATTTTACTGTTGTTTTTATCACTTTGGTCACCCTCATTCGATGCACAGTGCACCTCCATTTATACGTTATCTACAATATGTGTATTTTTAAATTTGGATTAGCAGTAAAGAAGATCTAAGGATTTTTGTGCGACTTTGGAGTATGCCCGATATGCTGTAATGCTAAATCAAACTTGAGATTTTTATTTGGGTGCTCATCACCATTTTTTTTCAAAACATATATAGGTGCAAAGATTAGCAGCAATTTTTCGCTTGAGGAGTGATTGCCAAGGTTCTGGCAAGAAAAGGTAAATTAAGTTGTGTTTTCTGTTGTGTTATGCTAGTGTTCTTTCATCATGCTAATTATCAGTTGTTGGTAACTTGTTGTATAGGTTTGTTTCAAGTATGGCAAAAAAAAAAAGTTGGTGGTAACTGGAAAACATTCAAGATAATGATACAAGTTCAATTCAATTTCACTATTGATAGGATACCGTGGGCCTTTACTGTATGACAACTAGTATTTCTTATTCATGTTTGTAACTTTCAATTGTCCATCGGTGTTCAGTGAGCAAACTATTCTACTCTTCACAGTATCATAGTGCTCTTTCATCCATATGGGGAATTGCTGCAAGCTGAAACTTGAATACTATATGTTAGGGATCAGGAAAAGAAAGAGAAGAAGAAGAAGAGAGGAAGAAAGAGTATGAAAACAGTATTGCATGTAAGGTGTGTGTTGCCAACACCCTATCACCTATTTATATTAAATAGATATTGAAAACAATTACTATTGCAAAAGTAGAACATGATAGGACAACCATAGAATAGAAAGGTAGAACAATAGGAAAGTAAGACTTAACACTTCACCTCAAGCTTAAGTATAAAGTAACAAAATGTTCAATTTAGAATAAATCTTGCTAAAGGTAGACCCTGCCAATGGTTTGGTGAGAGAATCACCAGGTAGACTACAATATCTCCACGTAGATCATAACAATGATAAAACAAAACTCAGGAAACTGTTTCAGACCATTCAGGGACTTCTATAATTGACAAACATTACAATGACACTCTCTGAGCAACTAATCCAAGTGGTTGCTCCATGTGAAGTCTAAGGCATCCCTTTGATTTTCTAGAGAAACTATTAACAAACACACCAAAACAAACAATAGCAAACGACGATCATGACAACATAGAGGAAAGAACCATGGTGATGACAAATGATAAGCACAACACCAACACCAACACCACCTCCAACAATATCGGCATAAATGAACACAACCAACATCATCACAATGAACAATATGCAACAACAAATTAAAATGCAAATAAAAAAAGGGTAAATCAAACAGAATCGGAGTTAAATCAGTCAAAAAGAGGCTGGACCGGTGTTGAAAACTACAAAGCCAATATTGAACCGGGATAAAAACTCTAAAATTGGCATTTAACTAGGCTGAAAACACTAAAAGGAATTGATTTGAGATGAAAACCAACACCAAACTGGGCTGAAAACCGCTGAACTGACAATAAATTGTATTGAAAACACTAAATTGGAATTGAACCAAGATGAAAACCATTAAATCAGCACCAAACTGAAATTGAACCGGGATGACAACAATTAAATTAGCACCAAACTGTATCGAAAATCAGCGAACTGGTACAAAATCTTGTTGAAAACATTGTATGGGAATTGAACCGGTGTGAAAACCATTAAACCAGCACCATACTCGTTGAAAATCACTGAATTGAGAATAAACGACATTGAAAACATTGAATCAAAACTGATTTGAGATAAAAACCACTAGTCTGCAACAAGTTATATCGAAAACCACTGAAGTGGCACTAAATTAAAATGAAAACGTCGTACTGATATTGAACTGGTATGAAAAACACAAAACCAGCATCAAATTGGGCCAAAAATCAGTGAACCATCACTAACCGGACTGAAAATATTAAAATTCGCACCAATGATCAAACACTGAAATAATTGTTGTTGCACTCACCCAAGGGTCTTACTCTGTACTCAGTTAAAACTTAAATAATTGTATGTTAGGGTTAAGGAAAAGAGAGTATGAGACAACATTATGTGTAGGGTATGTGTTGCCAACACTCTTATCACCTATTTATATTAGATTGGTATTGAAGACAGTTAAAATATTAGGAAAGTAGAACATAAGAAGAAAACCAGATAATAAAAATGTAGAACAATATGAATATAACACTCTAACACTACTCTTAGATCTATCTCCAATTAGCATAGTGAGTTACTAAGCATTAGAGAGACTGGAGTACCTCAAATTGAAGAACTTATCCGGACAACAAAAGTAAGAATAATCTTCTAAAATAAAGAATCTCGATCACGTCATGCAGAATGGGTTCGCTTGGTGTGGTACAAATTTTCATTTAACAGGATTTGTAGAAATTAACCAGGATTGGATCCTTGCAGATATAAATGGACAGACGTCGGAGGTGTTAGTTGTCTTGCTTCACTACATGCTGTATCAAGGGATAGATAGCTGTTATTATTGCCACATTCAGAGTTCGGTGCACATTCCTTTTGTTATTAAAGCATCATCACTTTATGCTCCTGCTGCGTGTTCAACTCTATGGCCTCTCGTCTTTTATTTCTTCTGTTTTCTTTACCATCCGTTGTTTGTAAGTGTTATGCAACTAAAAAGGACATCAGTGAGATTTTCCCAGGATAATTTCAAATTTTTTACTGTATATGAGTGGTCCATCTGATATTTTGAACAAGGACCCCATTACTCACTATGCTCCACAATGAATCTGTACATGAATTCATTGCTGTGGCTGTTGACCAATGTCAAGATGGAACAATTCCAGTTACAGTATTCTTGGAAATAATTTAATCAGTTAATAATGTATTCTTATAAATGTATACTGCAATCAATTAAGAAATAGAAACACTTTTCTATCTTGGGCTAATAGTATGTCTCCCTATTGTTGATCTGAAGCTGTCACCTGGTGGAGTAATGACCTCATAGATGAGAAAAATTACTAATGTTGAAATTGAATTGCCATTTTCTTTGTTAGATATGTGACAGTGACACGAACACAACACACTTGTATGCCATCTTCCAGTGATGAAGTTCGCCTCGAGAAGGTATTTATCTTTTAGTTACTCTGCATTTATTTTATGATTAGCCATTCTATACCTAATTAGGTAGTTTTTAATTTTCAGCTGATTGGTGATGGTGACGAGAATGCTGATTTTGTGGTCAACGATATAAAATCAGTTAAAAATCCTTCAAAGGGTAGTGATTTGAGCCCACTAGACCGTCAATCTGCCCAGGGAAAGTCGCTAAATAACTTGGCCAATCTTGGCAGTAAGGAAGCAAGCAAGAAGACTAAGAGTGGGAAAACTGTCTCTTATGCTGCTCAGCCTGTGTCCTTTGTCTCAAGTGGCGTTATGCAATCTGAAACGGTTGAGGACGAATCCATTCAGTCAAAGGAGGCCAATGACTCTTGCCTTGAAAACAAAGATGAATCCGGCTCATTAAAATATGGTGCATTCGAGTTGCACACCACAGGCTTTGGCTCAAAAATTATGGCAAAAATGGGTTTCATAGAAGGGAAAGGGTTGGGAAAGGATGGTCAAGGTATTTCAGAGCCTATCCAAGTGATCCAACGACCTAAATCACTTGGATTGGGTGCAAAATCTGCTGAAACAAGTGGTAGCTCGGAGAAGAAGGGCACTCGACAATTTGCAGCTTTTGAGAAGCATGCAAAAGGGTTTGGTTTGGGAAGGGAGGGTCAAAGTATGGCAGATCCTATCCAAGTGATCCAGCGACGTAAATCACTTGGATTGGATGCTTGTGCCCCAAAAATAAGTGTGAGCTCGGCAAAGAAGGGAACTCAACAATTTGCAGCTTTTGAAAAGCACACCAAGGGGATTGGATCAAAGATGATGTCAAAAATGGGTTTCGTTGAAGGCATGGGGCTTGGCAAAAATTCACAAGGCATTGTCAACCCTTTAGTCGCAGTAAGGCATCCTAAATCCCGGGGATTGGGTGCAAAATCCGCTGAAACAAGTGGTAGCTTGGAGAAGAAGGGAACTCGACAATTTGCAGCTTTTGAGAAGCACGCGAAGGGGTTTGGTTTGGGAAGGGATGGTCAAAGTGTGGCAGATCCTATCCAAGTGATCCAGCATCGTAAATCACTTGGATTGGATGCACAAGCCCCTGAAACAAGTGTGAGCTCTGCGCAGAAGGGAACTCAACAATTCGCAGCTTTTGAGAAGCACACCAAGGGGTTTGGATCAAAGATGATGTCAAAAATGGGTTTCGTTGAAGGCATGGGGCTTGGCAAAAGTTCACAAGGCATTGTCAACCCTTTAGTTGCTGCAAGGCATCCTAAATCCCGGGGATTGGGTGCCAAAGGGTAGATACTATTGTGACTAATCATTTATTTATAGAGGAAAAACCTCTTTTACTCAGTTTCATATAAACTAAGTTGCCTTAGGTTAGCTGATACCGTGACATGACATTTGTATAAATTGTCTGCTATGTTACGGTTAAGATTATATCTTTAGAGTTCTAGAGTATATATGTTTGTGTGTGTGTGCCCCTTCTCTTTGTCTGTTTTGTTGGATGGTTTGTTAGAAGATGACATGCAAGAGGGGTTACATTAAGTAATCACCAAATCTGAGTTACTTTTGGTCATGTTGCCCTGAAGGTGGGGAATGGTGAGAGGGAATTACAACCTTTCAGAATTCAGACCAATGGGAAGATTGCTTTCATATGAGGTAAAAAAAATGTCAAATGTTGTCTTTAATAAGAGTAGCTTGAAAGGGTATATGTAGATTATTAGGGTTGTGATTGAAACGTGTGGTGAAGGTAACATTTGGGAAATTAGGTAAAATTGTGGATGCATATGGGCTGACGTGTGCATGGATACTGCTGCGAAGCTGTGAGATCCTCCTGTCACTTAGGTAGTGCCTCTTGCCTAGGAGCATTCTGTTCATGTTAGCTGTAGGAGCTTGTCTTTAATAAGTTGGACCTTTCATTTTCTTTCCACCCGGCACCTCTCTTTTTTTCCTCTCATTTCATCTTGTTCTTGATCCATAAATTGAAAAAGAAAAACAACCAATGCTTCTTTTTATGTTTTTTATTCTCTCCTTTTTTTTTCTCTCCATTTCTATATTTAAGAGCGGGAGTTCGTGCATTAGACTGTTTTTTATCTATGAAAAATAACTTGAACACCTTTGGAGTCAACCCTTGTTATTAAGCCTTGCCTCTATGAAGGAAGGGTGAAACTTTTGGAGGGAGGGTGGAGTATTTCAATTTGCACTTCTTCTATCCTCAATTAAATAAATCCAATGGTTATTGTGTCAAGTTTTTCATTCCAATATCATAATAGACTTGAATACGGTCAAACATCCTGACAAGAATTAATACGTCATGGTTTCAAGTTTGAGAATCAACTTTTTCAAAGTAAGCTACCTCGGACATTATTATATGCTAGAAGGTCATAGACTGAATACAACTTATGTTTGGTTGAATATGCATTACCTCAATGCCCACATGAGATAAATAATTGCACAAAACCTAAAAGTTCTCGTTTTGACTTGTAGTTTAAAGTTAATCTGACAGTTAATATTATTTACTTAAATTTAATTGAAAAAATAGGCCCCCTAAAAAAAGTAACTTCTATTTCTTTAAAATCACTTTTGTACAAAACACTTCACGACCCCCACTGCTGTCACCACCCCACCATTGTTGCCGCCACCCCACCACCACCAGTGCCACCTTCGCCACAACCACAACCACCACCACCACCCATCACCACTATCACCACCATTGTCAACCACCAGTAATTGCTATCACCACCGCGCACCGCTACCACTACCACTACCGCACACCATCACCACCCACCACCATTATCAATTTATCATCTTTTATACTTATATTTATTATAACTACCACCACCACCGTCACCTACCACCACCACCATCGTTCAGGGTCGGCTCAAGCCCTAGGTAGCTAAGGTGCTTGCCTAGGGCGCCAAAAATATTTACTCTTTTAATATAATATGCCTAATTTATATATATTAGATATTATCCTAATTTTAAAAGTTCAAATCAATATTTAATTTTGTTAGGTCCAAAATTACTCTCAATTAGTTAAGCTTAAATTTTTGGAGGGCCTCCATAAAATTTATCCATTTAGTATAATAAGTTTTTTTTTTGGTATTTTAGATATAATTCAAATTTTTAAGACCCAAATTTTAATAGTTCAATTCAATATATAATTTTGTTAAGTCTAAAATTATTCACTATTTGTGAACTTTTATTTTAGTTTTTCTAGCTCTTTTGGATGTATTTATAGTTGTATTCCTCACACTCACATAAAAAATGTATATACATTATTTCTTCTAGTGAAAATTTTTAAAATTAAACTCTAAACTTCATATAATTTATGCTTAAATGTGTATGTGTTATCAAAGTTTTGTACTTAATGCGTCCTCATAACTCTAGGTAAAAAATGATTCTTTGGTATATTAAAATTATTATTTGCTCACATATTTTATCATTAAATTATTTGTTCAAAAATTAAATTAATAAAATCTTATTTATGCTCAACTAAACTTAAATGAATTAACTATATTATCTATTGAGAAATATTTATTGTCAAAACTTAAATATAAAAATTTGATCAATATTTTGCACTTCAAAAAATAAAAAATATTTTTAAATAAATAAAAAATAAAATTATAATAATTAAAATATTATATCTTAATAAACAAAATATTAATAGAGTCTCATATAAAATTTTTGTCCAGAGCCCCACTTTACCTTGGGTCGCCTTTGCCACCGTTGCTCACCACTACCACCACCACCCACTACCACCGTCACTCACAAGCACCCGTTATTGCCTACCACTACCATCGTCACTGTTCACCATCATAACCTACCACCGTCACCACCACTACCAAACAGTATGATTGTCTCCCTCCACCAACATTGTCATCACTCATAGTTGTTATTATCATTATCGTCACGTAAAACCCACCACCACCATCACCGTTGCCACCCACAGCACCCACTACCACCACTATCACCTACGGCTACCATCATTATTACATTCTTGTATTTATTACCACTATCACCATCATCCCACCACCACCGTTGCCCACTGCCACCATCCACCACCACCATCGTTGCCTATCACCACCTATCGCTACCCACTATCATAACCCACTACCACTTGTCGTCGTCCACCATTATCACACATCCTTACCACACCTACCACCATCAACCACCACTGTCACCTACAAGCACCCATTGCTGCCCACCATCACTCGCAAACCCACCACAACCATTGTCACCGCCCACCACCACAATCTACCACCATCATTGTCGCTCCACCACTATCATCACTCATGGCTGTCACTACGATAACACATCATCACCGTCACCGTTGCCATTCACGATAGCCCCCACCACTATGGTCATCATCGTCCATCACAACCATCACTATCTCCAACACCACAACTGACGCCAACTATCATTATCATCCATCATTCCTATTACAATCGATACTTAAATTCATTTTTTTCTCCTCTATATTTGCGATTTGATTTTGAGTGTGAATATAAATATATATATGATTAATAATTTTTTTTATTATTTTGTGCCTTCAAATACGAATAATAATTTGTTGTACTTTATTTCTTCTGGTAAGCTATCATCGTCAAGGCTACTACAATGTAGCTTTGAGGTTACAATTTGATTCTTAAATTGTAACTAAATTAATGGAGATGTGAATAGACATGATTTGGCTTCTGATGCTCTCACTCAACTCTCAAATGTTTTTTGAGACCATTACTCCATTTGGGTCATCGGTGGATCCATCAAAAGCCAATAATTCACCGGTATTAATATCTAGATTTTTCCAATTTCCTCAAATAGCACTAGTTGTGTATTGATTAAAAAAAAAACTGATCGATCGTTTTGTGACTATTATTCCATTCCGGTTTGGATCAATTAAACTTAGATTCTATCATTTTTCACAAATTTTTATCATATAACACGATTCAGAAATTTATTTAAATACAATGAGTTTCACTTGAATTCATCATACATGATGTATATTTATTAAATTTTATTTTGGCGTGAATTTAAATCGGATAGATTGCGGATATGACATTTGTATCAAACATAAAACAAATTCAATATAATCATCATATACTTTAGAGTTGATTGGTACTTCTCTTCAAATAAAGTTGGATCTAGACAACTGCAATCTTACCCATTATTTTACTTGACAAGCTTATCAAGTAAAGAGACACATTTGGTGCCTAGTCACAAACATATCATTGTTTTTTCATTGTGGGTTGGTATCCATTTTGGTGTTAAAACTCTTCTAATGTCAAATCATTTAGTATATGGTAGTTGATCAAGTATTGAGGAAACATACTAAATGGATCCTAATATGATATTCTCTTATACTTACCAAAATAAATGCTAATTACCAAAGAAAGCAAAGTGGATGAAAATTGCCATAGAAGAGCTACAAGAATGTTTGATGGGAATCACATTGTCGTGTGAGTTCCTATGGAAGATAGAATTATATTTTTCATGTGGATGTTTCATTATTCTACTTATCACAAAATATTTTATTTTATTTCCTTTGAATGCACCATTATTATCGTTATTTATTTTTAACAAAGGAAAAGGCTACAAAAATTATATTTTTTTAAAGTGTAAGTTATAACTTTTATAACGCGTAAGTTATAATTTTAATCATGAAAAATTAAAATTGATAATAAAAGTTCACGATTAATCATAGATGTCTGTAAACCTTCTCTTAAACGATTATAGCTTCTCTTTTTAACACTATATCTTTATCATAAAAATGATAATCAAAATTTTCGATGCCGTAAACTTTTCCTTCGACAAAAAATGATGGCCACCCAAAAGCCCAAAAGAGAACTCAGGTGTACTTGAGCAAAAAAGTTCCAAACCCAAAAATAGCAATACACTGTACACCGACGAGGATATAATAGTCATCTTAAAGAAATGGCCTTTGAATTCTTCAGGGCCTCTGGCCACTGTCCACCGACGAGGCAATTATATATATATTGAATCGTGATTCGTGACATTTCGCCTCTCTCCAATTCCCAGAGCTTCACGATCTGTATTGCTTCATAAGTCTCTGCTACACAGCTACTTCTCACTCAATTCGGCGTGAATCAATCCAACTAAAGGTCAGTTAGATCTGCACTTTGTTCCAATATCTTCACGCAAACCCTTTTCATTTCTGCATAGTTATCGCTTGATATTGTTTATATATTTGCCTAGACTATACAATCTGATATAATTTGATCTTTCATTGGCTAATTCCTAGAAATTATTCATGTTTCATCACTAGTTCCTCACTAAAAATCAAAACCCGCATTGAAACTGTTGTGATCTTAGCGTTTTACTGATTTTCTGATCTGGTCTTACAGATCTGACACAAAATCACCAAGAAAATGATCAAAATGGACTTCTCTGATAAATTCAAGATCTGGGTATTGTTAATCTGTTTGATATTTCAATTGGGTCACGGGTTTTACCTGCCGGGTAGCTACCCTCACAATTATGGTGTTGGGGATTTCTTGTCTGTGAAGGTGAATTCACTCACTTCAATTGATACTGAAATCCCTTTTAGCTATTATAGCTTACCCTTTTGTAAGCCCCCAGAGGGTGTGAAGGACAGTGCTGAAAACCTTGGTGAGCTCCTTATGGGTGATAGGATTGAGAATTCTCCGTATAGGTTTAAGATGTACACCAATGAGACAGAGATCTTTCTGTGTCAAACCAAGCCATTATCGGGCGATGAGTTTAAGCTCTTGAAGAAGAGGATTGATGAGATGTATCAGGTTAATTTGATTCTTGATAATTTACCCGCCATTCGATACACTAGGAAGGAGGGTTTTTTCTTGCGGTGGACAGGGTATCCGGTTGGAATTAAGGTTCAAGATGTGTATTATGTATTTAATCATTTGAAATTTACAGTTCTTGTTCATAAGTACGAGGAGGCCAATGTTGCTCGTGTGATGGGTACTGGGGATGGAGCCGAGGTGATCCCAACGGTTGGGAAGTCGGGATCGGAGAAGCCTGGTTACATGGTTGTTGGGTTTGAGGTGGTCCCTTGTAGTATCCAGCACAATGCCGAGTCACTGAAGAATTTGAAAATATTTGGTACATTCCCATCTGCAATTAAATGTGATCCCACCACTGTGGCCATGCCTATTAAGGAAAATGAGCCTCTGGCATTTACGTATGAGGTCTCATTTGTGGAGAGTGACATTAAGTGGCCATCAAGATGGGATGCTTATTTGAAGATGGAGGGAGCGAAAGTCCATTGGTTCTCAATTCTCAATTCCCTTATGGTGATCACTTTCTTGGCTGGTATAGTTCTTGTGATCTTCTTGAGGACAGTTAGGCGGGATCTGACTCGCTATGAAGAACTCGACAAGGAAGCTCAAGCCCAAATGAATGAGGAGTTATCAGGATGGAAACTTGTCGTGGGAGATGTTTTCCGCGCTCCAAGCAACCCTTCTCTTTTATGTGTTTTAGTTGGAGATGGGGTTCAGATTCTTGGGATGGCAGTTGTGACGATTTTGTTTGCCGCTCTTGGTTTCATGTCACCGGCTTCTCGTGGAACACTGATTTCAGGTATGCTATTTTTCTACATGATACTTGGAATTGCAGCTGGTTATGTTGCTGTTCGTATGTGGAGGACAATCTTCTGTGGTGATTCCAAAGGATGGGTTTCAGTCTCTTGGCGGGTTGCTTGTTTCTTCCCTGGTATTGCCTTTTTTATTCTAACCATTTTGAATTTCTTATTGTGGGGTAGTCACAGCACAGGAGCAATCCCATTTTCTCTCTTTGTGATTCTAATTCTGTTGTGGTTCTGTATCTCGGTTCCCCTTACCCTTGTTGGTGGTTACTTTGGGGCAAGGGCACCTCATATTGAATTCCCTGTTCGAACCAATCAAATCCCCCGGGAAATCCCAGCTCAAAGATACCCATCTTGGCTTTTAGTTCTTGGGGCTGGGACACTCCCATTCGGTACACTTTTCATTGAGCTCTTCTTTATCATGTCTAGTATTTGGATGGGCCGTGTGTACTATGTTTTCGGATTCCTCTTCATTGTCTTGATCCTTCTTGTTGTGGTTTGTGCGGAAGTGTCTCTAGTTCTAACCTACATGCATCTTTGTGTGGAGGACTGGAAATGGTGGTGGAAATCCTTCTTTGCATCTGGTTCAGTTGCCATATACATCTTTCTTTACTCCATAAACTACCTCGTATTTGATCTAAAGAGCTTGAGTGGACCTGTCTCTGCCACTCTTTACTTGGGCTATTCACTATTCATGGTCGTAGCAATCATGCTTGCAACGGGCACGGTCGGGTTCCTTTCTTCATTTTGGTTTGTGCATTTCGTATTCTCTTCAGTGAAGCTGGACTGAAGAATTTCCTTCAACTCGGTTTCAGACTCGGACAAAGGGCAGCTTTTGGGCATTGGAGAAATGGACAGCGTCTTTATAGTTGATTTGCTTGTGTCACTTGTCTTGAATATGCCTATTTTTTTTCTAGGAAATTTGGAAAAATTAAGACAATTGCTTCATCCAGTTTTGTTATAATTCTTTACTCGATGGAAATCTTTGCATGATAGTAAAGTTGCATTCTGGTGGATGCGCTGAATACTGGATTGTGCTAGTTAACTTGTCAGCTTCCCAACTCTTACTGACTTATCCAAATTTCGGTAGCTTAAATGCAATTAGTTGGCTCTTCAGTCCAACTGATGCAATGGTGAACCAAAAACACAAGAAAATCAGTGTTCCCTCGGTGCAAAAAAATACTCTTATTTTTCTGTGGATTCGAAGTGTGTAGTCACGAGGGAAATTCCCGTGTTCTTGGTGGCTTTATTTTCAGTTGTCGGCTTTATCACATCAGCACTTGGGTCAGGCATTGGATTGGCCGCCTAAGGATTTGCAAAAAATTCATGGCCCATTGGATAGCTTGGTGTCCACTTGCTCGGTGGTTGGCATGGGCAACCATTAGGATGCCAATGGACCGAAACGGGGGAGGGGGGGGGGGGGGGGGGGGGGCATAGTTTTTATCCACGTACCCGTTTAAAAAATTTTCGTCTATCTTCGGTCCACCTTTGTTAACGGGTATAATTTTTATTCAGATCCATGTTCGTGGAAAAATTTTTAATCTCCGTCCTTGTCACTGTCCCCACTTCTCTCGTACCTGCCTAAACTCAAGCTCAAAAATTTTAATCTCCGTCCTTGTCACTGTCCCCACTTCTCTCGTACCCGCCTAAACTCAAGCTCAAATCTAAGCCCAAGAACATTCATAGACCAGAACAACAAAAAAATTGTAGTCAACCCAATATTAAGCAAAATTAGCGGTATTTGCAATCTATTCATTGGAAACCAAAAAAAAAAAAAATTAAAAGGTCTTCAAAAGAAGTAATCAATCAATTAGATTCACTAGGCCCAAATTGTAAAAACGATAAAAACAGAACCCACTCAATCACAACTCATAAAGATCGATATGTAACAGTTAACAGTTATCAAAACAAAGCAATCAAACCAAAGCCACAAAAAGTGAATTCGATCAGCAAAGAAACCAATGAAAAGAAATTCAGAACGCAATCTTAAAGGAAAAATCCGAAAAAACACTTTCTACCCAGAACGTGATTAGGGTCATGCTAGGTGGGCTGACCTGGATTACCTGAGATTTAGCAATTTAGAAATATTTGTACAAAATAGATACCCCATATTCGAACTCAAAAACCCACGATTGTAAGAATGATGATTAATGCTTATACCATGCACCGGGCAATGACCCTGAATCTATACACTTCCAAAAATCATAAAAGAGTCAAAGGAAAGTCTGAAGAGCAAATTAAACTTACAAAGAGAGGACTCTCTACTTATTCAAAGGTAGCAACACTCTGTCTCTCAATTGCTCTCTCCACTTATTCTTCTCAAAATTCGAACATGCAACATGATCGATTGACTGCAGCGATCAGCAAACAAATATGAGTGCAGCGATCAGCGATTTACAGAGAGAGAGATGAGTCGATGGCGGTGGAGACGGACGGCTGATAGAATAAGTTAGGGTTAGGGATTTTAACCGAAGAGTATATATATATAACGGGTAAGAGGACGGGACGAAAGGTAAGTCCATTCTTGCTTTCCTCGCGGGCTGTTTAATACGTACAGTCCATCTTCGGTCTAAACGAGACGAGTTTGAACGAATACTCGTTTTTTTTCGGTTCACTGTCATCCCTAGCAATCATATGGTAGTTTGGCCTAGTTGGGTATATAGTGATGGGCAATTAAGATATTGGAGTAGGCTCTTTAATTGGGCTATTGGCAGTCCTCTAACGTGGGTAGTCCACAAACAATCTATGAGGACCAACCCAATAGGCAGGCCATGGGCCACCTTTCCTTTGAGTTAGTGGGTTTTGCCAGGCCTTCTGATCGCCAACAATCAACTTTTATAGCCCATGAGTGGACATGGGCTGTTCGGATTTAGCTCGTTGCGGATGGGTCAATGCTCTTGGATCAGGGTGAATAATGACGTGACATGGCATTGTATTTTTGAGCTGCGCAATACTCTTACAACTCAACCATTGTATTTTTGCGCTGTGCAATACTCTTACAAGTACTAATCACCATCAAATATCAGTTCCTTGATGTGAAGAGATGAATAGGGGAGCATCTTGTGTTTGCAGGGAAGACTCACTTTTGTAAATGACGAAATTTAAAAGAAGACTCACTTTTGTCAATGATGAAATTTAAAAAAATAAACGAGACCAAATGATTTTCAACAAACAAGCAAATTAATGAAGGTACAAATAACTAATTTAAACAAATAAATTGAAAGACGGAGACAATACTGAAGTGAAGGAGGGGTGGAGATATATATTTCTTTTAGTATGTTTTGATTTTAAAATTTGTGGCCTTTTTATAGGGCACATTTCAACACTATTGGTAGAAATGTGGGAGACTACTTTATTAAATACAGTAACTATTCATGCAATGTAATGTCATGTCAACACAATTTGTATATAGTAGTCATTCATATCATACACAGTATTTGTACAACTCTTTCTTGGATGACTATTTAAATAACATTAGGGTCGAAAATCTGATTTTGATAAAATAGTTGGGATTCTAAGCACTGCCTCGTTAAAAACCTTGCTGAGTAAAATTCAGTGGAAAAAAACTTTAGCAAAGGAAAAAAGAGTATATGTCTCCCCCTATTGAAAACATTCGGTCAAATTGATAATTGTTCAACTTGATAGATATTTGAGATGCCGTATTTTGATTTGGTTTGCCAATTTCTAGAATGTAGTCGGTGGGTGTGTTTTAGTGAACAAATCTATTAGATTTTCAGTCGAACGAATCTGTTGAACATTAATATCACTATTCTTTTCAACCTCATGGGCGTAAACGAACTTTGGTGATATATGTTTCGTTCTATCGCCTTTGATATATCCTTGTGAGATGTGTGACATAAGTTATATTGTCCTTGTATAATATTGTTGACATACCTTTGATTGAAGATAGCTCACTTTGCTCTTGAATATGTTGGATCATAGATCTTAGTCAAATATATTCTCGACTTGCTCTAAAGGTAACTAATATTTCGGAGTGATTGAATGATGTAGCAATCATTTGTTTGTTAACCAATTTCTATGATATAGTCGTACCACCATAAATAAACACATATCTAGTTTATGATCGAGCCTTGTATGGATCAGAAAGATAATTGGCATTTGCATATCCAATTAACTGCAGACTTTGGTCAATTGCATAGAATAACCATATGTCCACCGTTCCACGAAAAAATTGAAATACAAGATTGATCTCATTTCAATGTCTTCAAGTTGGTGTTGAGTTGTATCTTGCCGGTAGATTAACTATAAATGATATGTTTGACATTGTACAATTTTGTAGATACATTAGTGCACCATTGCACTTAGATATGTTGCTTCTAGACCAAGAAGTTTTCACCTTCCTCTTGAAGACGAAATGAATCTTTTTTTGTATCTAATGATCTAATGACCATTGGTGAGCTCAGTGGATGAGATTTACAACATATTCTGTGTATTATGATAATAAACCTGATCCATGTGTCTTTTTCATTGAATATATATTGTAGTGTTTCTTTAGAATCTAGTTTTAATCTGTGTAACTTTGCTCAGTCATAGGGAGAAAAGGAAAGGTGAATACAAACAAATATGAATTCCGACGTAAAAAAAAAGTGTTGGATCAAAGTGTGGGGCAATCATCTGTTAAAGATGGTCACAAACACAACAAACAACAAAAAACAAACAAAATGGATGAAACGAAGCATGATCCGAAATACAGGTCCAACTTGATTGTCATTGTTAGAGCAATAGATAACATTAGGATAAGTGAAGCATACAAGGTTGTCTTGAAAAAAACCCATTTTGGTTACTTTTCGAAATTATTCTTGATAAAAAAAAATTAGACAATATATGGTGTAGAAAGAGTGACAGTAACATACTTGGTGTGATATTGTGCTTCGATGTTAATACTTCTAAGTTTCATATTGGAGGGGAGAAAATTAAATTGCGAAGAAACGATGGGAAAATAATATTTGGGATTGAAGATGGTTGCGTGCCAATGGATGCATCCATTCATGGGAAGGAAAACATAAAATTACGAAGATTCAAGGAGGATAGCAGGTTGGCCTCAACATTGATAAAGAGTAAATTGATGGAAGCAGCAAATGGAATAGCCCAAAATGACGTTGATGACATTGCAAGGCTATTATGCCTATTCAAACTGGTTACTCTCTTTTTCACACACACTGAGACCTCTCTAGGATGAGGTTATATTTCGTACATTGAGGAATTGGATGAAATAAAAAAGTATGAATGGTCAAGTGCTATCCATAAAACACTAATGTCTTTACTTAAGAAAAAGAGTGGCACACTATCAGGGGTTACTGGATGTGTACTTTTGTTATTGGTATTTTTTTAATAGCCACATATCATTTTCCCATTTTTTTTTCCTTATTTTAATAAATGAAAGTAATGATTTTTGCTTATAATGAAATTGTATGTATGTGCAGTTTTGGCTTTGTGAACACACATTATTCAAATTGATAAGTCAAAAGGAATTTCAAGGATTACGAAATAAAATTTACCGAGTCTACAAAGAGCTATGAAACAGAATAAGGTGCGAAAGTTGAAGACAAAACATGTAAGTATTAGTGCTGTCATGATTTTTGGTTAATAATTCAATGTTAGTGAAAATTTAAATGTTGTATTTTAGCATTGTGATTCAACACTTACTAATTACACTATTTGCTACACAGCCATGTTCCATATTATTCAATATCAACTGTGATGACAAACTATCAAAACCAAAATCAACATTTACACTTTGTTGTTTCCTAATTTTTAATGCACACTTTATAGATAGATTTTGAGTGCAAAAATTGGATATTTTTTATTTTTCAAGGTACTAAAGAATAGATTGAAGAGAACAAAGGAAGAGAAAAAGCTTATCATATCAAAAGCACAAGCAAAAACAGAGGAGCATAAAGAAGGATATGAGGATAGGGAGCATGAGGGTGCAAATCATGACCTATTATTTGACAAAGATGATGACATCATGGATGTAAGTGGGCATGATGGTAAG